AACTCAGTCCAGGCTGCGGAACGTGTCAATAACTGTAGCGTGTGCTGAAAGAGGTTTGCCAACCCTATCGGAGCACCAGACTATCTAAATGGGACTTTGTTTATGCCAGTCCATGGTGAACGGTCAAACCGCAGGTAAGACAAGGCTTTTGACCGAAACCCGTTACAAAGTACCCTCAGAGGTCTGAAGACTGCTCCGGGTAAGCCACGCTGAATTCCACGACAGCTTGGTGTGTTCTCTCTCTATTATGAATTAAAATCAATTTAGAATCAACGCAGGTCGTGTCCTTCCCATATAACTTGGTCCCTTTCATCTAGATAACAATTCTTCAGTTGTGCTTTAGAAAAGTTCATTTATTCTGTTAGGGTAGAAATAGTTCAGAATAAGTGATTCAGTAACATGATACCAGAGGAAGTTATCGGGTGATGAGTTCACGTTATTACTAAAAGTCATAGAGATTATGATAATAATTGTGTTTCTGTCTGCCCAAATAACCTGTCTGTATTGTTATCTCTGAATCATTAATATAGGGTATATTATGAAATTTATGCTTTGTCTGTGCGTCTTTTATTCTGATTTTTATCGYCAAAAACTGAAAAGCGCTCCGTCCTTCAGTACATGAGATTGAGTAAAAATATGAGATTAATTTCCTGTTATTCACAGGTGGTGCCCCAATTCCTTTATTATGTTAATAAATTATAATAAACTTATAATTTAGCAACTTTTCAATAATTGCAATACTCCTACAGTTGTTTTCTTTTTATTACTAAATATCATGTAATTTGTTTTATCCAAATTTAATGACAATGTAGCACAAACATTCTTAGCCAGGCATTGTCTTCAGTTGGCCTTCTGAACTCCACCGCCTCCTCAAACTCTACCCTCAGAGACTCAGGAAAGAATGACAATGTAAAATTAATAAACAATGTAAAATGCTTATTTATGCAGCCTGCCATGTATTGTTTTGCTCTGTGTGCTTCTCAATTGTTTTGACGATTTTAAATAGAATTTGAAATGTTTTTCAGTGATTAAAGCTCAGGTTTTTACTTCTTTACAGTCATAGCGCGGTACAGTGTGAAGCTCTGCGTTCCTATCCTGTTAATGTATACTCCCCCTGCTGGCAATAATCGGTATTACCAACTCCTCTGATTAGAGTTTCTTTGGGGCGGTTAAAAATCCAGCCCTATGGACACTTTCTGCTAGTTTTAGCGCACCGATACAAACAGTAAACCTAACATGAGCTCATAAAATGCAGGAATATCACTCAGCACAACTTGTGTCCAACAGAGGAGGTATTCTGTTTAAAAATGGATTGGGGAAGCAACGCATCCTGTTTATCAGTTCTGTGCTGCTGGAGCAGAAA